ACTCAAAAAGTACACGGTGAACGTCTTCTTCCACGCCATTTCCATTAAGCCAAAACTTTAAGAAAAGATGACAAGAAATTTGATTAGTAATTTCCAAAAACTATTTTGTACTCGACCAGCAAATTGCATAGATGAAATATACATCTGTATACATACATATGTAGGTACCTATATTTGCATCAATAGTAATCAAAAAATATGAACACCGTTACATGATGCCGATATTAATTCCGTTTCAAGCGCTGATATCATTAAAAAAATTTTGGAAAGTACAATCAGAAAAGAACTTGGTTGAAAATCCGGTTAAAGCACACACACATACATATACCTACATATGTAAGCGCATTATATATATGTACTATGTACGTACATAGATAAGTTCGTGTACATACATATGTACGTATACTGTATATTGTATTATGTATTTATTTTGGTCCGGCATTTGGAAAGACCAAGCCGAAAATGATCCCACTCAAGAAGTAGACAAGTGTGTAAGGCAAAGAAACAAAAGCTCAAGCTACGTTTTTTATATAAGTAGGTATGTATGTACATTCTATGTAAGTTTGTATTCATGTATATGTATGTATGCATTTACGATTGGATGTGTCCATATAATTTTGCATGCGTGATGAAATTATCCCATAAAACCACTGTTGCTGGTAAAACTCTTGTCTTTTTGTAAACACACACACACACACACACACACACAGATGCATATAATAATTCTTTTACGCCCGTATTGAAGTTTTAACCAAGTAAAATAAAAACAAAAAAAAAAAACTAGCCAGCAGCTCAACTTGGTGTCGATATTTTGAACCGGTCTATTGCTCACCTGTATGGCAATGACCAACTCTCTCCCTTCTTCCTCTGCTATGAACATTGTCTTGGAACAGTCTAGCGCCATTTCGGGCTTTGACGCAACTTAGTGGTTTTGCTGAAAATTATTGCTTTATTTTTATTTTTTTTTTTGGTTTAATGCTGCTTCCAGCTTCACGGCTCTTTTTGCAAAGGTGATTTTTTAGTTGTTGTTGATTCCCAGGTAAAATGTTCTCGTTTTTACGCTCATGAGCTAAGTATATTTAGCAACATTTAACAAATCTTTGTCTTTTGTACCCAATTACGCTTGTGTAGAAAACCATAAACGCATGCAAACTTGGCAACATTTAGTTTTAATTAAGCCACTGTTTTAAATATAAATAATAAATAAACCAGCGTAATGTAATAACTGTGCAATCATGTATGTATGTACTTATTACACCTGCTAACATGAGTTTGTACACATGGACAAAATACAAATCGCTGCTAATAAGCATGTAAATCTGCATGTGCTTATGTACATATTTATATACATACATACATATATGCTTACTAACATAATAATTATTTTAATAACGCTTGTAGCCTTGACAGTTTCATAGCGTGGCTACACCCAGCGCACTACGAGAGTTTTACAGCGAATTTCTTTCTAAGATAGTTGAAAGCCTTTGGTAAGGCGATTGAATGACAGTAGGCAAGATAGTTTGAAAGTTTTTTTTTTTTAATTATGGCACCATAGTCTTACAAAAAGAAAAGCTTCCTTGTCAACTTTCATTGTGAATGGCGTGCCATACGAGAGATAGGAGTTCAAGGTTTAGGGAAGCGGATTTTTTTTCTTCTTAATTGATTTTTTTTTTCTTTTACTATAATTTTCTTTTATTTTTTAGATTTTATTGTTTGTATTGTCTAATGTTCATAGAAATTGGATCTAATTTTTAAAACTTATATTTATTCGTTTTTTAATTAATTTTTTAGTTCTTTTTTAAATTAGTTCTGTTTTATTTGTTAGATTTTTTGTTTTAAAAAGGAAATTTTTGGATGTCATTTAGTTTTTAGTAACTCCTTTTTAATTTAACTTTAGTTTTCTAATTATATTATTTCAAAAAGTAAACATATATTTTTTGTAGTTTCTTATGGAATTTGGAATTTTTTTAAATGCTTTTTATTTTAAATTTTTAGATTTTATTGTTTAAAAAAACTATTTTCTTTTTAATTGGATTTAATTTTCAAACCAAATTTTTTTCGTTTTTTAATAAATTTTTAGTGCTTTATTAAATTGTTTTCTTTTTTTTTTCTTTTCGAATTATATTATTTCAGATAGTAAACATAAATATTTTTTTAGTTTCACAAGGAATTTGGAATTTTTTTATTACATTCTTTTTATTTAAAATTTTTAATAAGTAAACATATATCTTTTTTTAATTTCACAAGGAATTTGAATTTTTTTTAGATTTTCTCGTTTAAAAAAAAATTAATTTTTGTTATTTATGGCCTTGTAACAATTATATTCAACAATTTTATTGAGCTTAAGGCCGTTTTTTAAGAAAATTTTTAGTGAAAAAACCACAATTTACATTTTTGGTAGAAGCTATAGCTATTTCGGAGATCACCACGTCTCCTCATCAGACTTCTTCAACTGGGCTTCGATCCAACGGCTTCAAGCTCCATAAAATTGTTGAATATAAGTTAAAAAAATGTGTTTTATTTAATCTGATTTTTAAAAACTTAGCTTACTAATACTTTCTTTTTTAAGATAATTTTAATTATTATTTTTTTAATCAAATTAACAGAACTTAATAAAAGAAGGAAGGTTGTCAATTCATCGGAATATTTTTTGTCTGTTTTATTACCGGATAACTTTGAGCCACGTGTTTTCTATAATTCTTGTATCGGAAAGTTGGTACCTGGAGGGTGGTCCCATACTAATGTGGCTTAGTTCATTAGATTATGAAGAAATTAACGGTACTCCAAACTTTTTATATGAGCTTTGAAGTCGGTTGTATTTTTTTGCTTAAAAATTACTTGTTTTTAGTTTAAACGGTTTTAAAAAGAAATATATACCTACATTTATACATTAGGGCGGGTCAATTTTTTTGTATTATGCGCGTATAGCACAGAAGGATTCTACGCGTAATTCTAAGCAAATTTGCCGAAGAAACCATGGGTCTAAAATTAATTTAGAGTTTGCAAAATTGCGAAAATGGGTTTCAAAGAAAATGTGAAAATATTCACTGTTGCGCCCTCTGGTGGATGTTTTAAGAAAAATTTATGAATAAAAATAGAAGAACACCCAGTTTTACAATCAAATCAATATCGATTGCATGCCAATCCAGCTTGTATGCTAATTTTAGCATAAAAAAAAAATAGTTTCGATTGACCGACGGTCCGGCACCAAAACGGCAATAACGCAAATGCTGATTACATATTAATACGCAATTAATGTGAACTAAATTAATGCTAAATTGCTTTGGCCTAGACATAACTAACTATCGGCTTTTATGTAGCTGATGCGATAATAGCTAAATATCATATTTTTTTTTTCCTTTTGGAATTGTTATGCAAAGTAAATAATCGCCAAATACATGGAGCACAAGGGTTATTAAAAATTGTTTACGCATAATTTCTTAAATGCATTTTTCGTGTTTTTTTTGTTGAAAGTGGGTTGAGAAATGATGTTTGTGCAATCATTTGTGTTATTAATTATTTCGTTTTGAAATAATATATTTTTTAAACGAGTTTACTTAGAGTTACAAAATTACAATGCATTTGTGGTTTTAAAACATTGCTAAAGACTACGAGTTGATACTAATTTAATAATTCGTATAATATTTTTATTCAAAATTTTTTTTATCAAACATGCATCTAGATGCTCTAGGAACATTTGGGCATAAAAACGAAAATTTTGAAAAAGGCCCCTTACGCGTTTTTGGCGGTTGAGACACGATAATTATGTATATTACGCATTAGGGTGATCAACTATTCAATAGTTCACCTCGATTTTTTTTATTGTTGAGGATTTTCATGAAACAATGGGCATAATTTTATATAGGAGAAAAAGATTGGACAGAATAAAGATAAATATTTTGCATAACATTACAATCTGAGAATACATCTGCAAAAAATGCATAGGTTTAAGGTTATGGAGATCACATTTTTGAAGTGAAAATAAAGCCAAAGTTTTTATATATTCGTACTTTGCATAGAGAGCTTAACGGGAACCGTGATTTTGAAGAAAGTCTATAGGCAATGAACAGCATTCGTGCTTCTCACCCTTGAAAAAACGATGTACATATATTCGATTTGGTTACATCTATTTTGAAAAACTACCGATCACCCTAATTCCTAAAGTATAAAAAAAGTAGAAAAACGCCTGTGCGTTGAAACGAAAAAGTGTTACACACTGAGTTGGCAATTGATTTTAATTGAGAAATATTGTCGGTTTAACCAATTGAACTTTTCGCGTCAGACAGAACCTACTGAGCGTGCACTTTCTTTCGTATAAGTGAGTGTAAATGCGAAGAATTACATAAATTGTAGTCATATGTAGATATTTATGTATAAGTATGAATGCAAGTACAGCTAAGGCGCAAAAAGTCTTGAGCTTAAACGCGGAGAGGATGCCAAAGAGGAGTTCAATTGACCCGGATTGGCCTGCATAAATACTTGCAAACGTGCATGTTAGGGTGGAGCGAAAAAAAAAATATATTTCGATTTCGGAATTCTAAGAGTGCGTAAAAGTTGCGTAACATGATCACATTGAACCGTTTTAAACCAAGAGCCTTCATGTTTCGAAAAATCTTTTAAATTATGGTACTTGTATACTTTTTTTCAAGATTTTTGATGGTGTTACGCATGTTTTCCATAAAAAAAAAATCGAACATAATTTGTATGGAAAAACTGCGTGACACTTCCAAGAAAAAAAATGTAAAAAAAAACTCCGCATACTACTACTAAAAATATTTCAAGATAATCTTGAAAAAAAAATATAAAATAACCAAAACTTGAAAGATTTTTCGAAACTTGGTCATAAAAAATTTCCAAAAATTTCTAAAATTTTCCGCACTATTAGAATTTTGGAATTGAAAAAAAATTTTTTTTCGCTCCACTCTAATGCAAAATGCTTTTATCACTATGTACTTTGAACAAACCAAAACCTATCCTCAAACAAAATGTGCAATCGGCAGGAAAATTCGATACTAAAACAGAATTAATTTAATAGCAAACAATATTTGAAAACAAAAAATCGAACAATCTTAATTAAAATAAGTAAGTGCATATAAAATGAACACAGTTATAAAATGAGTGCAACAATGCAGCCGAATGACAGCCAGAGTGAAAGCAATTGCAATACATTGCGCACGCTGCCGCGTAAGCGTCGACCACGTGCTGTCGGTGAAGTTTACATTACTTGTCCAGCCAGTCAGTTGTATCTGAATAGCACCATTAGCGAGCATAATGACATCAGTGAACCTATATATCAAAATACAACGGCAGAAGCTGAGCAGGAAGCGATCAGGCGGAGAGATCGTTGCGGTCGCCTTTCGTTTGTGCGCGCCACCGTTGATGAGGCGCGCTGTACAGATGGCGCGCGTCAAACGATGACTGTGAGCACCTTTATAGGTTGGTTCCACAAATGAGGTTTTGGCTACAAATAAGAAAATAAAATTTTAAATTTTAAGGAATTTCTAATAACTTACTTTGTAACAAAAACTGCATAACGTTTTTTTTTTCATTTTTTTCCCTCTTTCACGCAGATGACTCCGATCACTATTATGAGACATTGTCGCCTTTGGGAAATAAACGGCACTCCACGCTGCCAGCGCAAGGCTCGAATAACCAACTGCGGTTCAGTCAAGACTTACCCTATCTGGCGAAGAATGGCTCGCAGCGTGGTAAACAATACTCGGCTTCCATGCATGGTCTGGGCACTTTAGCGACATCCGACGATTATGACTCCTTCGACACGGATACCGATGATATCTATGAGGTGGATGAGAATACAAAGAATGTGAGTAGACACAATTATATTATATAATGTACAACAAGTTTGATCACTAGCCCGCTACTCTCCTAACTTTGCTATATCAAGTTCCTCCATACTTGTTTTTTCAATTCCAGTAAAATTCCTCCACTGTCACCATTTCTTTGCTCTTTACTAATCCGTCGTTTTTCTCCTCCCCAACAGCATGACAGCGGCGTGGATATACGCAATGTGAAACTTCCTGATCCACCCCCTGCCACAAATCAAGTATACGCCATTGTACGCAAGCTCAAGAATTTCATCTCTAGTAAGAAGTCTACGGGCGCACATTCTAAGTACGGCGACAGTCAGCAAAAGCTCTACGAAAACTCCACCCAATTCTATGTGAGTGGTAATATTTATGAAAATACACCAAAGACTAAATCCAAGCCACAAAAAGATGTAAAAAAGACGACCACACCCTCACAAGATCAAGATCTATATGAAAACACCGAGTTCCATAGTCCGCCCGCGATCGCCGCAGAGGGCAAACAGCTTAGCGCTTCGGAAAAACATTTAAATAGTCCAACGGATGTTAGAGCCGACACGTCTAACACCAGCACCACATTGCGTTCCAAGTCCAAGTCGGTCAAGAGTTTCAAGTCACGTTTGCGAAAAAGTCTAGTCGGTTCCACTTTTGATATGAAAAATTTATCGACGTTGGCGCCTACACGTAGCACATTTTACATTGAAGATCCCACCTACGGTGGTTCGGGCGAGTTAGATTCAGGTTTTTCTGAGAAAGCCTCGTCCGGAGATCTTCCCACGGCACCCATAATACCTACACCCGATTCACAAAAATTCTCTACGGTTGCGCGTAAGGCGAAAAAGGAGGCGAAGACGTCTAATTCGCAGCGGCGGCGCACCACGATTGGTATACGTCCGCAGGATCCACCACCGCCGCCACCCGTCGCTTCTTCGACCACGTCTTGGTATGCCGAGTGTGGCGTGTTCAAAAATGGCACAACCGGTATGCTGCAGGAGTCGGAGATTTCGTTGAACGATAGTAAGACGAGTCAGAGTGGTTCCTCGATTTTCAATGGAAATTCTTGGTACACCGAAGCGGGTTTATATCAGACCAGCGGCGTATCTGTGGCCAGCTCGAGCGGCAGTTCAGGCGTTTCAACTGGTAATGAGGGCACGCTAGGCGATGATCTGCCACACAGCATGTTCCAGAATGAGCCGCTCTATCAGATCTACAGCGCCGCTAAGCTGGAGGTAAGTTGCTTGAATAAGCCTACCATTTTTGTATTAAAATATCAAACGTTATTTGCAGTCTATAACGCGCGACATGGAGGGACATGACAGCTCGACGGATGGTTATGAGGAGATCGGGCAGAATAGTACAAATAGCGATGCGCGCGCGAGTGTTCAAAAACATCAACGACCCAGCGCTTTCCAGCTAATCGAGCCAAAGAATGGGCCATCACGTACGTTGTGGAGCGAGATACCGGAGGTTATCAGTTCGTGTATTTTGGGTGAGTGGTGTATTGCTATTTGTGCATTCATTGCAACTAACTAACTTCATTGCCATTCGCAGCCACTTTGACGCCGCGTGAACGCAGCCTGCAGGAGGCGAAATTCGAAATTATCACCTCCGAAGCGAGTTATCTGAAATCGCTGAACTTGCTGCGTAGTCATTTTATGAATCATCCTATATTTCGCGACACAAATGTGGTGAGCGCGCGTGATCGCAAAGCTTTGTTTGCCTACATTGTGCCCGTGCATGAATGCTCCGAGAAGCTGCTCACTGCAATGGAGTCCTGTTGGCAAGATAACATTATGCTCATCGGTTTGAGTAGACGCATCTTCGCGGTCGCTGAAAAATATTTCCATGTGTACATCTCATTTTGCGAACACCAAGGTCGTATGGATAGAACATTGCGACGACTGAAGGAGAGTCGCGGCATTTTTGCGCAAAATCTGCATCTCCTTGAAACGAGTCCAACCTGCTGTGGCCTAAATCTGCATTCTTTTCTTATGCTGCCAATGCAACGTATCACCCGTCTTCCGCTACTCATTGATGCCGTTTTCAGCAAAGTCAGCCCCAACGATGACGAATACGAAAACTGGAAGATGACGCTAGCCATTATGAATAAGATTGTAACACAGTGCAATGAAGCCNGTTTTCAGCAAAGTCAGTCCCAACGATGACGAATACGAAAACTGGAAGATGACGCTAGCCATTATGAATAAGATTGTGACACAGTGCAATGAAGCTGCTAATCGCTGTGAGCAGGCGTACGAGATCGAACGTATAGCGCGACAGCTGGAATTTCCTTCAACGATACGCGCATTAGCTATAGCGCCAATGGGTATACCTGCATCCGGTTCAAAGCCACGGTTCCTAGTGAAGCGTGGTGAGTTGACGCATTTCATTTGGCGTGGGGACGATATTAAACTTACGTTTGGCAAGAAGTTCTCCAAAGTGGCAATATATGCCTTCCTCTTCTCCGATTTGCTCGTACTAACGAAGCGCAAAGGCGAGGAACAATACGCAGTCTTCGACTATTGCCCACGCAACATGTTGACCATCTCCTCCGGTGATCTGCGGGACATTAGCCAGACGCACAAAAATCTAATACTGATGACCTTGCTGGAGAATCACGAACGCAAGACTGTGGAGCTAGTAAGTCGCTGACACCAGAGCATTAAAATCATTAATTGCATATAAACCTTTTTGTGTGTGTTCGACAGGTCCTTTCTTGCCCATCAGTTTCCGAACAGGAACGTTGGTTGCAAGCAGTTCGACCACCCGAGCCAGAGACGCCTGGCGAAAAGCTTTACGCGCCCTGGGATTGTCCGCAGGTGATAACGAAGCACGCATACGAGACGAGAGAACCAGACGCGCTGAGCCTGGAGGTGGGTGATGTGGTGAATGTGACGCGGAAACTGCCAGACGGTAAGTGGGAATGGAATTATAGTCAATCTAATGAGTTTATTTTTAACGGTTGCCCCTTTCTAGGCTGGTATCAGGGTGAGCGCATACGTGATGGCGTTATCGGTTGGTTCCCAGGCAGTTATACGGAAGAGGTGAATTCAGCGCATGTGCGCGCACGCAATTTGAAGCAACGCCAACGGTTGCTCACATTCACAGCCACATATCTCGAGTCGCAGAAGCGCAAGTAGGTGATCAATTTTGGTGAAGATACTACATATAGTTAGTTCGCATAGTATCTCAAGGCGTTCGTCGTGGTCATAAATTGGTTTTTACAAAACTGGGCGTGCAAAGGATGTGTTTGTGCCTTTTAAATTTATATATATACATTTATTAGAAAATATTTTTTACGTATATTTAAGGGTTAAAGTTGTAACATACATATACAAGTATGACTTTTTAACCAATAATATGAAAATAATGGACCAAATTTCGTTGTCTAAAAATTCTATAAAATATTTATTAAAAAATGTGATAAAAATATGAATACGCCTATGAAAGTGTACATAAAAGTTGGTTGTTATAAGAAAAATTATTATTTTTATTTTATAAGGTAAGATGAAAAAGTAAAGTTTGGTGAATATAACTTGTAACGGAGTATCTTGTGCGTTAAATTGAACGTTTTAAATACTTTGTTAAAAATATCTTTAATCCGATAGAAATTAATGTAGATACTATAAATTATTATTAATTAAATTTATAGGAGGATAAACCTAACTCTAAGAACTTGATTTAAAATCTTACATGACTATTGAGAAATATATATAAATAAATCTCCACATCTTCATGATATATGTATGTATGTAACTAAATACGATTAAACATAGATACGCTTTTTTTCTTCTTTCTGTATAATATGAATTTACTGGGCATTTCTTGCAACTGTTTTTCAACTCAGCCCAGTCTTTCGAAATACAAGAGTCTTTCGGAAGATCTGCAAACGATGTATTTTACCAATAAGAAAATTAAAATCATAAAAACGGTAAAAAAATATATTTTTATAAACAAAAAAATTTTAAAATAAAAAAAATTTTATTTAAAAAGTATGTACATATGTACAAATAATTTAAAAAAGAAAATATATATGAAATAATCTCTAGAATTTTCTAAAAAATAAACAGCCTCATTGCGTAAGCCGTAAATTACGCTAAATTGTACGACTCGACAACATTGGCATTGTCTACTTTCGTGCTGAAATAAGTAACGAAGAAAATCGTCGAAAACTATGCAGTGCTGCCAAGTTTTCCCATTTTAATACACTTGTCGACCCGAAATTTTAGGCAATGACATGAAATTTTATAAACGATTCGACTCTCGAAAAACGACTTGAACACAACTCTCGCAATGAGGCTGAAAATTTTCTTTTTGAAATAATACATTCTAAAAATTTGGCGAAAACTAAATAAAAAATAAATAAAATAAAAAATAAAAGATAAAAAAATTAAATAATTCTTCAAAAATTATATAACATTAAAAAAATATATACATCTTAAAAAATTTTTAATTAAAATAAAATTAAATTTAAAAAATATATGTACATATATAAATAAATTAAAAAAGAAAATATAAACGAAATAAGCTCCTAGAAATGAACTGAAATTAAAAAAGTAATTTTCTAATAAATAAAATTTTCTTTTTGAAATAATATAGTGTAAAAATTAAACGAAAATTAAATAACAAAAAAGAAATAGAAATAAAAACTAAATAATTCCTCAAAAATTATATAAAATTTAAAAATATATATTTCTTTTTAAAACAAAATGTGTAAATTTAAATAATTACAAAAATAAAACAAATTTTCTAAAGTTAAATCACACTAAAAAAACTCAAAAAAAAGAAATTAAAAATAAAAAGAAAAATAAAATAAATTTCTAAACACAAAAAATTTAAATGAATGATTCTGCGGAAGACTTACGGGCCTTTGCGCGTTGGCAACAGCTAGTACCCCTGATGAAGGAACGGTAAGCCATTCTCACGACAACCGTTTCTACGTACTGGAAGGATTCGGGTTTTACCCGACCAATCGCGGAAAAACAATATAACCCTGTTCAGATCAGTGAAATCTCCCAATAGTTATACGTCCATAGGGCAACACCTAGCAGCAAGGCTGCTCTGCAACCCCGAACCAGAAACTTATTTCCGCTGCATATGCCGGAGAAAACTATGCCCAAACTCTAGTTTAGTTAAGTTCAACACCTGCAACGGATGGAGTTACTTAAAGACTTGCTCAGGTCTTAGAACACATAGGGAGAGGACCGAATCATCTGTGGCCCCATGTGGCTCAAGCCATACAGCAAATTCTGCTTCCACGGCTCACCGGAGCACACCCGACCAACATGACTCCAATACCCCCACACCCCAAAGCAGCTCTAACTTATCACGATCAGTCTCCCAAGGCACATGAAGATACTACACTTCAATAGCAACGGACTGCAGGTCAAGGTCGAGAAGGTAACCATCTTCATGGTTGAGCTGCGCCGGCTACAGTGTGCAACATCGCGATTGCGATGAGATAATGGTAAAGGTTTAGCAAATTTATCACTGCTGTTGCTGCCAATTTATTTCCGCTGGATTTATTGCGGAAACCCGCCCAAATTTCCCAGCTGAAGCGGCTATTCTACCAGAAAAGCGTACCCACCTTCGTCAGGTCGATTCCGGCCAATCATCTGGCATCTCAAATCGGAGATGCGGCAACTGGTAAACCAACACAAGCGAAAGAAGTGAGGTGTACCTGAAGACTTGAAATGTAACCTCTGGGGCTAGAAAGTTTGATCAACCGTAAGGTCATTGTCCAACCCCACTACAAGAGACGATAAAGTGGAAATATCTTTCGATAACCGGGTTCGTCGGACCCGAAGCGATGTGCAAGCTATTTAAGCCGGAAGTTTACGCTGCATCATGCGGTAGACAGAGCCAAACGTCGAGTGGTCAGAAGGCTGCTCAAACTCGAAACACATACTCCCTCCCGCTTCCTCGAAAAATTGGATTCAGTGGGAGTAGACTACCTCACAAAGGTCCTCAATGGTACTCTTTATCATTCCCGAAGTGTGGAAAATAGAGAGAGTCGTATAGGCCTATAACTCTTATTTCCCCGGGAGCGAAGACCCTACAGGCCTTGATACTCACCTACTTTACGTATCACCTGCCCCCCCGCCGAGGCACCAACATGGCTTCCGTAAAAAGCACAGCACATCCACAGCACTTAACGCCATAAACTCTCGGATAACAGTGCCCTTAACAGAACTAGCCTCTGGAGAACAATTCTGATAGCGCTGGATCTGTCAAATGTGTTTGACACCGCCAGCCACTCCATGCTACTAAAAGAGAGTGAGGCTTCCGCTCTCCCACAGGAACTCAAACGGTGGTCTGCGAATTATCTGAGTGGTCGACATTCGTCAGTCATTTTTCAAGATAAAATGACGAGGCCACGAAAAATTAATTAAAGGTTTCCAGAGAGAGGTGTCCTTTCCCCGGTCTGTTTAATTTTACATTTCGAACCACCAATACCTCATACATATGCTGACAATTGCTCGATAATGACGTCCGACAATGGAATTGATGACGAGTGACACTCACCCCTATTAAATCCTCGGAAACATTTTTCATCACCTGGGCGGAAGTGGTCAGAGTACAGCTGGGGGGTCATGTCGATGCCGAACAAATTACGGAATAACCTTCGACAGCCTGCGCTCTTTTTCATAAATGTACATTTACGTTCTTTGTACATTTACGTTCTTTGCGTAAAATTTTCGACACGGCAGCGCATTTAACTTTTGAGCAATATGGCAGGGCTGCCAGCTGTCAAATTTAGCTGTCACTTAGCCATTTTCCACATTTTCCACATTTGTCTGCTTTTTCTGATGTCCATTGAAAAATATATATCTTCGGATCCAAGGCATTGTTCATGTATATTTGCTGCTTTGTTAAAAAAATAAACAATTAACATAGCAACGATAATCGGCGCAAGACGGGAGAGAATGAATGCGCAGTTCCATACACCATCATTCGGAGACGAGATAGTATTTGATTTGCCAGACAACGAAACCGATTGCAGAACTACTATTGCTAGCGTTCAAGGTGGTGCAGGAAGTTCCACCGTGCCAAATAAATCCACACATCAACAACAGAAAGCAGGAGTTTTTCCGCCGCAGCCGTTAGAGGTGTGTATTTAATTGAATATACATATGTATGTATACCTTGTGCAGTAAAAACGTATCAAATCTTACCACAATGTGACGAAGGAATTGCTTAGCGAGGAGCTTAAAAACAGCGCCACGGCAAATGTATTTTTTCGATTATAAATTGTTAAAATCAGCAGACGGCCTTGTGCAAATTATAACTAATATGCCTTGCTCAAGCGGGAGACATTTGCATTATGAAATACCGCCAGGTATTAGTGCATTTTTTTATTGAAACGCACAGGACCGAATTAACCCACGACAGTCGGGTCTACGTAACCGGAACGACCCAGATTTATATCTGGCCAAGGACTGTCACTCCAGCAACACTCCCCAAAAAGTCTTTGGGGAATTTGTATGCTGCTACAACAACAACAACAACAACGAGTGCAAACAATGCAACTACAATTTAAATGAAATGTAATGCGAATTAGGTAATTATTGCTATAAGCGCATACATAACAATTTATATGTACGTACACACCGTTAAAGCATTCGATTACAATGGATAATCAATTGTACTTTAAAATCAATGGGACTTAGGTGGAGCCTAAGGTGTGAGGGAACAGAATATTTTAGGTTGTAGGCTACCAATGTTTCTACATCCAATTGCCATACATCCATTGTGCATAACATTAATATTGAAGTCGATTTTTAATATATATGTTTATTAGCTATTAGCCGGCGCGGAAACCGCATGACGATTATATCCAATTGCAATTATATATATATATATATATATATATATATATGTGTAGCACACGCATTAGTTTTACAGCTCTGCATATGTGTATATACATACATATGTGTGGGGACTGGGGGCCTTATCGCAAATCAGTTTTTATTGAAATGACGCTGTCATAGCGCTGTGGCCGACACATTGTGTTTAATATTAGTTTGCTTAGCAAGAGGGCATTTGCGTTGACAATAGTCAGTCTAAATAGCAGATGAAGAAGCTTTTAGTGAGTGTATCAGCTAGTAAAGGGAATACTAAAATACTTATTTTGATTCCGAATTGAACACTGCTTTATTTTTTTTTTTTATCTTTATTGCTATTTTCCAGTCAAAAAGAATTCGTAACATGGATGTGTCTACGGACGAGTACCACAGCGCCAATGATGAATCTTTCGCGAATACTGCGTATGCAGTATCTCCCCCGAAAAGCGCTCAATCCACACCAACAGCCACACTCGCAGCACGCAAGCAGCTAACCCCAACTGCGACAAACGCCAATGAGCCCGCCAAACCGCTATCGGCATATGGACTCTTCTTTCGCGACACTGTAAGCGCAATAAAACAACAAAATCCAAACTGTACTTTTCAGGAGCTATCAAGAATCGTATTGTCAATGTGGGAGGCACTGGATGCTAGCCATAAGAATGTGTACAGCAAGAAACATGAAGCAGCTATGAATGAGTATATAAAACAAATGCGCATATATCAGCAGCAGCAGGAGGAACAGCAACAACAGCAGCAACAGCAACAGCAACTGCAACAACAACAATTGACTACAAGTGTAAATGCAACACCAACACCCGCTCTGCAGACCAAACCGGCCGTCTTTACAATTTCGCGTTTCAATACGGATGGCAATAGTAATGCAAATTACAACAATGTTACAACCAATAACGACGTAGTGGCAAATGCAACTCAGCCACAGTTGCAGGCTCAAGCACCGACACAGATCGCCACCAATACCGCCACTAGCACCACAACCACAGCTAATGCACCAACGCAGCCCCAAATACAATTGCTTAGTGAAGCTGGTGCAGTGCAAAAATGTACCCGTGAGAATTGTAATAAACGCGCTATTATAAATCCCGATTGGGAAGATGAATATTGTAGTAATGAGTGCGTTGTAATTCACTGTCGCAATGTGTTCAATGCCTGGGTGCAATCGAATTTGGAATCACGAAAGCAATAACAGCGGGCCTATTGGGGAGGGGCTGCTGCTGCTGGTAAAAAATAAGGCATGCATACATCGGGCGGATTTTTTTGTTGTGTTAGCAGCTTTTAGGGGGAGGCGGTTTAGGCTACGATGGTGGTTGAAATATTTGTGTCATATTTAGTATATGAATGAGCAATATGCATTTCCGCCTACAACAGCATTGTTTACATACACTATTGCTGTGTTTATCAGTCATTAAGCTTGCACAGACATTGTTGAGCTCATAAGAAACTTAGACGATAACATATTTGTAGCAGCGGCGAAAGCGAAATGAATAACCACAATGTACGCTGTTGGTCGTACTGTGTATTTCGAAATACGACAAGATACTTGGAATCAGATGTTTACGCGTGTTGAAGTCAGCTGAAAACGGGCCATACATTAAGCATACGTGCTCTATATTTTCATTTAAAATTTTACCCATAGATTTAAACTAAAATAAGGTCATCAGGCAGGTTCTGCAATTCACTTCCAGAGTGAATTTCAACCCCATTAAATTTTAATTCAAAGTGAGAATTGTAGAACCTGCCTGTATTATTGCTATAGCGCACTATTTGTTTTTTATTAACGGTACTTACAAGCAATCTGTAACATCTCGTGTGCATATTTGAAATAAAAAAACGAATGTTAATATGTAATTTGTTATTTTAAAGTTTTATTAATACATTTCATGTTTTTCTTGCAATATTTGTATTTCATTGAAAAAAGCAAAAACATTTTATGTTATATTAATTTTAATATTAATGTACATACATATATTTCATAGCATAATACAAGTAACGTACACACATATAAATTTGTGAAATTCTTAATTTTTGCTATTCTGCAGCCAGCCAATATATCAATATCCTTGCACATCGATTCAATTGTGAATCAACTGACATATTCAAAAAAAAAAACAAAAGCGTTCAAATAAGTTCAGAAACTCAATAAAAATATAATATCTAACTGCTTAAAACTAAAATTCCATGTTTTGCTGTACTTTGTAAAATTAAGTCATTCTCGCAGTATCCGTGAAAAAATGTATGTTGAGCTTACGAAGATAAGTGCTTTTACATATGTATGTACATACATATATGCTGATGTACATATACGGATGTACGCATATGCTTTGGGAGTGAGTATAAAACCCAATGCATTTAATATTTTACAAGATGCAGATACAGATTATAAACTAGATTAGAGGTAAACACACATAATTCAATGTAAATACGAGTATACTATGCGTTTAAATGCTTAAAAAAGCGATATTGCATTCGAAATAAATGAAGATCATCAATATTTCAAAAAAAAAACGGTTTGTATTTCAACAAAATCGAATTGCATTGATGTAAAATGTAAAATGCCAAGTACATATGCATTTGTCTCATATTTTACGCTATCAAAATATATGTATTTGCTATTACTTTTCAACACCACTTGTATTGCATGAACTAATAATTTAAACAGCTTTAAGCGTTTCTTTATTTTTCGTGGCACAAACAAATTAGGTAAATAAAACAAGAATTGCACGCTATGTATGAGCAAAAATTTAATAATTATTTTTGGTATTTAGAAGACTTGCTTGTTGAAGAAGTAAGCGCGGGAGGCAAAAAAAAAGAGAGTTGTTGCTTACGCTTAAATTAAAGAACTTAAAGCATACATTTAAGTGGCTTGTATGTATGCATACTATATATTGGACTGCCCTTTCTACAAAAAAGAAACGAAGCATTTATTTGTAAATAATATCACGAAAGTACGCATTCAATCTATACTTCTAAAACATTCTTTTCGAACGGTCGATATTTGCTTTTGATTTTCGACAAAATCTACGGGGGCATTGACTGCAATCAAGTGCCTATATTCTTTAGAAAACATTTTTTATTTTCTAAATTTTCATGCTAACCGCTGTGTTTACTCAGCTATTATGGATATTAATATTTGCATTTATTTTTTAAAGGGACTTTTTGCACGAGGAGGAGGAATTTTTGCAGCGGCAAACGCTACTATGTATTTATATGATTATTTTTTTTTGTATTTTAAATAACGCGTTTTCTTTGCAACAAAGTACTATTTTTTATGTTTATATATTTACGTAGATAGTAATGCCATGTATGTATGCCTGTATATGGATATTTTTCTTTGCTATTCGCGCCTACAACTGTTTACTGCCTTGCTTTGATTACTGTTTCGAGGTTCATCTACTAAAATTTGAGATTATTGACAATTATAGTTTTTTCTTTAATTTCTCTATTAACGATTTTCAATGTTGTTGCATCTGTCCATTAACAGTCATTTTACTTTCTTATTGACTAGAGTGGTTATTTCGCTCAAAGCTTTCAGAGTTCGGAAGTATCCTCCATCAAGTTTTTGTTGCAGCAATATCCTCCCTCTTGTGGTGAGCTGGGAAATGAGATTAAATTTTGTTGATAAGTTTTTCTTAATATGTGACATTGCCTAACATAGTATAGCTTAACATGACTGAACGTAACAAAAAATAATATAGCATAGCATAAAGAAGTGCTTAAGTTGACTTAAAGAAAAAAATATGAAATGGAAAGATTTTTAATTACTTATTTTTAATCACTACAGCAAATAGCATTTTGTGATACTTCTTCTGTGTCTAATTTAAGAAATAAACTTGTTTAAGGTAAATTTTATAGAAACTCACAAAGTCGGACTCAAGCACTTTTTCTAACATTTTCTGTTAGGAAATCTCCCACCTTAATGCTGGTTAAGTTCTCGCTGAATTGCACTCCTCTCCTCCCTCTACTCAATAATTTGCAATTCGTTGATATCCATATCGGAAGTCTCCTTACAAAAAGTACTCGAACGCTCCAATTTCGTTTCGACACGTGGCTGCTGCTGCTGCTCATTGGCTTGTTGCGATGGTGGTGATGTCGCCTTGACGACACCGTTGCCACCGCCACCGCCGCCGCCGCGACCAGTCGCTGACGTGGACGTATCGATGAACAATTCGATTTTCTGCTTGACCGCATGCGCTGCCTTCAACACACCATTGGTGGCGTTAATGATTTTGTTTTTATTATTCAAATTTACCATCTGATTTGCACTATTGTTGTTGCTATGGTTTTTGTTGCTCACTTGTATGTGATTTGTGGATTTCTTTAGTTGCAGCGAGTTGGGCCGGCGTGTGGGTATATTGGAAGGCAGCGAATTGCGTATGTAGTTGGCATTTGCCGTCGCTGTGACGGCGGTGTGTGAAGCGGAACGCATTGGTCCGGTGTGCTGATGGTGGTTGTTTTGTTGTTGTTGTTGTTTTTGTTGGTTTTTGGTGGGTGCGGGGACGGCGTTTGTATTGTTGCTCCGTTCATCACCGGAGCTATTGGCGGCTTGTTGCAACTGTTGTAATTTGTTTTTCTCGGCGCGCCGAGCGAGTATCTCACGCGATTTGGCGGACAAGAAGCTGTGACGCGCGCCACCACTTCCCTGTTGTGCGCCAGCTGTGCCCTGTGCAGACGTTTGGCCCGGCATCGATATCGAACCATTCTTGAACATATCGCGCGATGAGTGTGTGGATGATACAGAGGACAGACGACTAGCCGCTGATTTGGTTGTAGTCACCGATGATGGGCTCGAACCGGTTGATTTTATATTTTGCTGTTGCAAATGTTTTGGCGGCTTGTTGCCGATGCTGGCGGCACGCGCCGACTTTACAATGCCATTGGGCGCTTTGCCGTTTTGCAACTTGCCACCGACAGCTGCCAACTGTTTGCCGCTGTTTCCAATGAGCGGATTCGAACGCGACAGCTTGTTTACGCTAGCGAGTGACTCCTGCGAGATCGCCTTATTCGTAATCACTGAACTTTTCATGCTGTCCGCAAGCGAATCACCGCCACGATCCGAAAAACGGTCAGCATTGTCGGTGGTTTTGAGACGCATATTACGGCCGCGCCGAGATGGCGATGCCAAGCTGTCAAGCGACATGTTAATGGATTTGCGTCCAATCTGGTTGGCAGTCTTACGCGCTGCCGGACTGGAAGTGCGCGAACTATCACTGGATGAGATCTGGCGGCCTTTGCCCTTGCCGGTGGCCGGTATGCTGGAACTGGTGGCGCTACGCACTGGACCGCCGCCAAAGCCGGCTGGTGCGTGTACTTTGCGCGGCTCCAAGTAGCGCGGTCGTACATCAGACAAGCGCGGCGCTGCTTTCTTGTTGGAATCGCTCTTCGTTTCAGCGCTTGTGGGTTTTGGTGCCGGAGCGGGCGCAGCTGCGGCTGCTTTATTAATGGGCATTGGCGCCTCCGATTGCGTGCGACGATGCGTGTTTACGCTGTTGCGCTCGGAAGTGGTGGCGCTCTGCGAGCTTGCGCGCAGCGTTTGAGGCACATGAACGCGCGTGTTCGATTTGAGAATTTTACCTGCGAAAAAAAATATAATTTACCACAATCTATTTAGAGGCAAGTTTATTGTAGCATTCACTTACTTGTGCCCTCGCGTAGATCGTTATTGGCCTGCACACCGCGTTCGGTGGTCTGCACATTGCCCGCATCCTGTGTTTGCGTCGCCTTGTACAGTTGCGTATCTTGCGCCATGGCGCGCTTCGAATGCGCCTGTATTGCCAACTTCACCTGATAGAGATCCTGATTGCGCGTGCTGCCACTAAAAGTGAACGCCTTTGAGACCTGCTTGTTGCGCTTCAGGTCCATTGGTTCGGTAAGACGCGCCAATGTTTGTATCTTTTTACGCAAATCGAGATCCATGCGCTGCCAAGCAGTCACGCGCATGGCGAGCGAACACTGCCGTATAAGACACTGCTCGACGGCGGACAGTATGGCGCTCACCAAACGTATATACTCGGCATCCCAATCCAAGTCCTCCTCCTGCAAGCCCTGCAACTCCTTTGCCAGCTCACCCAGATTAGCCGGCATTTGTATGACTTTCGCCTGCAACACGGTATTGAGGCGTGTCACACGCTGATAACTGCGACATGCCTGATCTGGTGTGAGCGATGATGCTGTGCGCAAGAGTACGCTCTCCAGTCGCGGTATGTGACAGCTGCGATCGTGACCGAGCGAGAGGAATGAGTCGCTCGCTATGAGGCTGGCAAAGTGATCGGCAATGTAGGTGTAGGCGGCATCAAGTATGTTTCGTACGAGGTTCTCACAAATACCACCCCAGCGGTAGGTTGCCAACTGCGTCAGCAAATTATCACAGTCGAGCACTGTGTCCAACACGCTCTCCGACGTCTGTAGGGTAAGATAAAGAATTGTGTTTCATTTATTTGGCAAATTGGGAGATACATTTAGCGAACATTTATTGAATAGGTTAACATGATGATAAGGAAAATGCAGCACCTCTTCGCCGTGCCACTACATAACTCATAATTGTTGGTACTAGCGATCACTGATCGCAGACCAAGATAAGATCGGTGGGAGAACTCAAACAATGCAATACAATTGTTTGTTTATCGCACACAGTTTCGGCGACGATTGCGTATTTCGGCTGAACAGTTTTATCATCAGCGATGCAAACATCAAGCCCAGAACGTATGTAACAACACTTAATCTAAACGCTGCAAGCGATAAGATAAGAGTTTCTGCGAAATTGATTAAATTGCATTAAATTTAATAGCAAAACACAAATTCGCAAATTAAAAAATAGCTCAAGGTTTCGTAAATTAAATCAAATTAAACGCTAAAATGATTTTTGAATTTTCGGCTCGTTGGTTGATCGATGGGCGAGCGAGCTTATGACTCGAATTGGCCCAGCGGCTTAGGAAAATTGGCATTGTGTAGAAATTTGGGAATAGTACGATCATAGAGTATGTATTGGTTTTAATGGTCCTCTGCCTTCACTTTTCATTGTGGTACCGGCGTTTCGTGCTACGCTCCAAACAAATTTGCAGCATTCTGGGCGACTACTTCCCTCAAACAAAGCTTGTGTACACTATTGTCTTGCGTGGGATCTCAATTCTATCTGACGAAAATGGTGGGTAGGCACTGTAACCAAAGGTAATCATCAATTACCCCCTCTGCATAGTTGTGAGTCAGCAAAAAACGGATCGATGGAGCTAACTTCCACAATTTTCCATCAGATCAAAGCAAGAAATTGGACTAATTACCGCGTGGTGCAATCAGTCTACAAGGTTTGAATGCAATTCCATTATTTCTACAGGATTAGTAACCACCATAAGCACATTATTCATCTGGTGCTCCATATTAAGCCTTCAGTTTAACTTAGGCGACAGAAAGATTACCAAAGGCTTTGAAATCGAGGATAAAGGAAGGGAAGCCAGATTGAAACATGCTTTCGTATTGATCTCATTCAAAGAAAATCGAAGACACACCTCTTTAACTGAGGTAAGTTCATGAGTAAAAGAAAGTCCAAGAAAATTTATATGGACAGATATGGTTTTGATCTAAGATATAATGCCAAAGGTTTTCATAGGACAATTAATAGTAGGCATCATTCGGTGATAGAAAAAACCTGAGTAAAAATGGACTGAGGACTCATAACAGGGTCCAACCGGGTATTGAGTCTTAGAGAGAGTGGAGCTAGGCTAGGTAGGACTATTTGAAATAACTGAAGACTAGGTCCCTACTCATATCTGGGCGAATTTCCTTCGATGTTATGAGCTCACTTGGGTAGCTACTTTTCCAATCCCTTGGTTGGCGCTATGAACATTGCCAAACTGATCTCAGTTCCCCTGGAAGATCTCTGAAAGATTTTATTTAAATGATGTTGTACATTTTCTAGTTATGCAATGCTCTTGGAACTACGACTAGAGATGGGCACGGCACAAAAATTTCAATCCCGTTCCCGCCCATCCCGAAATTAAATTTTTAAGTCCCGAGCCCGCCCATCCGGACGTTTTTAAGAATTATAGCGCTGGTCCCGTGGGTCCAAAATCAATCACTAAGAATACATAATTCACATCCAGCCTTATCATGAGTTTAATCTTCCAAAAACCGGTTTACTTTTCAATTTTTGTTTCCATGGTTTTACTATGGCCGGATGACAAATTTTCAGGTGAATTTTTTTCAGGCGAAACTCAGGATAAGGCAGATTTCTTTCAAATTTATTTTAAATAATAAAAAATCTGGCATCTTCCGGTTATTTTATTGTTTGCCTTGCTTTTCCTTTTCGTGTCAATAAAACATAAAAAAGTGATTGTTTCATAAAATGTTTTTAAGGAAGATTATCTGAATTTGTGGAGGTGGCGGGCTTTATCGGGAGTGTCGGGAAAGGATTTTATTCTCGTCGCGCACGCAAAATTTTTGAAGACCTTCTCGATACCGCGCATCCCGGCCATTTTGAAATCAGTACCATGGGTGCCGCGCGCTCTCTACCGCGCATCTCTAACTACGACTATGCTACGATGAGTTTTCCCATAGTCTTATGGGATATATGACAATTAGGCTGAGGACCATGCGAGTCCTTCCGATCTTATTGGCATGTAAACTCAATCTACTACAACAGACAACTTAAAGTAGTTGCCAATAATAAATGAAATTCGTAAAAGAATCTCCAATAAACTTACCATATAGGCGACAATTTGCTGGCGACAGCGCCCCAGTATATCCGCTGGAAGCTGAGCAAATTGACGAGTTGGCCAAACCTTCATGTAGTGGCGGCAAG